CCTGCACAGCCAAGTGCTTATAGGCAGCAGCTAGGCCAGTGTTAGTTCTAACTAGTTTCTCATCTATTGCCAAGTAAGGGCAAAAATGCTTATACTGGGAAAGAAACTTTCTATTCCTACTCCTTCCCAAAGGCTGGCCTTGGATAAAGACATTGTTGCTGTAAGTTTACTAGGTGCAATCTGGTAAAGGCCCTATTTAAGCAGGGAAAGCAAATGAAGAATTTCCTCATCTCTCTTTGCAAGTACAGTGAGCACTGAGCAGTGCAGTCCTGCAGAGCACATCAGTTGGGAACCTCGTTGGGCAGCACAGAACACCACAGCTCTGCTCCAGCAGCGAGCCATGGGCATTGTATTTAGCATCTGGTGCGCTACTACAGCAAAACTTCTCTTCCAGCTGTTGAGTTTTTAAACAAAATCTCTACAGAGCTTAAAAATGCTAGTCAGGAACCAAGCAACAGACAGAAAACTGCCCTTCACCCCTGCACGGCCCTCAGTTCTGAGGCGCTTCCCCTCTGGCAACGGTTTGATGTGGTGACTCATCGTATTGTGTGCACCACATTTGACAGGATCTAGGGGCTGGCTTGGAAAGAATCTGATTAAAAATAATATAAATAGATGAACAGTGGATAAACAGTTGCTCTCCCTTGTTCCGGGATTCTGAAGGGCTGAGCTTCCAGAATGTCACTGGAAATTATAGTCAACTAAAGAAAATAAAAACGGGGAGGGGAGATTCTCATATAAACACTTAAAGGGACTTTGAAAATTGCCAGTAAATATTTCAGGACTCTGCCACTGTTGTGCTAATAACGTGATAAAGAAACCATAAGGACAGCCCTACAGAATGGTTAGAAAGCAGTAACAGCTATGTCCTCTGCCCCAGGAGGGGAGACAGAACTTCAGAGTTGTTGCCAAAGTGAACACAGTGCAATTTACATCAGGTGTGTAAGAGATTCCTTTGAGTCCAGAAAACACTGCAGGCAATGCTCTCATATGAGAGCAGGGAGGTACTGTTGCCCAAAAAGCGCTGAGCAGAGATAGAAGCAGAAGGAATGGATACATTTTGTTTAACATTTTCGTTTAACAGGATTAAGAAGTGAACCATCTATCTAAACTTAGAAATGTTACAAAGAATTTGTGATCTGTTGAGTTGTGCATGTAACAGCAATGTTATCTGCCAATTCCTGAATATTGTCCTTAGATAATTCATCCTAGAAGATGCCACCACTCTCGTATACAAAGGACGGTAGTGTACAACACTGGGTATCCTGACTAACCTAGTGGCCTAGATGTAATTACAGATCTGAAAGCCTGCTAAATATTTTGCTTCTGCGTTACAAGTGTTGATGTGTTAGGACCCACAACTCTTCCAACGTTTCACATAGGTTACAGATAAGAAGCTAGCCCCTCACATTCCTAAGGTCCAATTTTCAGTCCCTTTTCCACCTCCTCTGGTACAGAAGGATGAGCGCACACTCTTCACAGGCCCTGTCGAGTATACTCCAGTTGGCTGCCTCACTATTTTCACGTTGTCAGCGGGTAACCAAACTCATTAGTCACTGAAGCATCATGTAATTGCAGGTGGATGTGGGTAGATGATATGACAAGTGATTTAATAGGTACTTTTCGCATGTGTCAGAAACGTTACCACTGCAAACTGTCAGAAGCTGTGGAGCAAAGCATTGGGGTGGCAGGGAGGCACGAGGGAGGAGGAGGAGAAGGCGGCTGCAGAGGGGCTGGGAAGTGTGGCTGTGAATTTAGCTGAATTTCAGTATCAAATTCCTTCCTCTGAATTAGCAGCTGGCTTCCATCCTCAGTCTCCTCATACATTAGTGGCACATGATAGTTCATTTACCCCTCAGATCCTGTCAGCAAGATACTGGGAGGGTTCTGACACCTGGTACAGCAAATGGTGAGAACACCAGTCCATCTGCCCCCCCAGCACAACATGCCTGCACAGACAGCTGTAGGTAGAATCCTGCCTATTCGGAGCAGGTTAATTTACTGAAACCACATATGAACAAATTCCATTTTTGGAGATCTGAGTGTTTGCTTTCACATCACTTTGTGCTTTCCTAGGTCAAGGAACACACTGCTCAGAAAGGACACACTTAGGCACTCGTTTCAGTCCCAGGACACTTTTCACTTTTGGTAACATGCAGTGCTCTTCCTTCTCCATGCCAAATGCCATGTTTACTGCAGATGCATTCTCAGTGATACCTCCCTTTGTTGTTCTCAGCCTTGTGAGACCCCTACAAGAACAGTTAATCAATTTGATTTTTCTTTCCAAGGCAGTGTGAGGGAGGGAAAGATTTCAGAACACCAATGATACCAATTAAGAGTAACAATTTTAGATGTGCATCTACTTAGATTTGATTGTGACAGAAGGTAATGTCAATTAAAAGTGACCTTGAACTGATAAATACTTGCTAAGGTGAACTAAGTTTATTAGACAATAATTAAGAAATGCAGGTCTCTATGGACAGTAGATGTAAGAGGAAAACTAAGGGAAGCAAAAGTCTGCTGCTAAGAGAAAACAATAAATATGCACTTTTTTTATTCAGCCCTAAATGAAAAATGCCACTACTTTAACAGGAGGACTATATTAAAGCTAACCCAAAGAGCTAAGGCCAAGTATAAGCCAGGAACAGTTTTAAGGCTTTTTGCTAGCCTAGGGATTAATTACTCAGCTATGACAAATGAAGTGCAAGATGGCACTGCTCACATCTTACTCTAATTTGTTTTGCTTTCTGGCTGCATCTTCAGAGTGAAGATTTTCTGCTGCTCCCAAATCACCCAGCCTATGCCACTAATCACATCTAATTTGAAACAAACAAACACCAAAGATAATCTAATTTCTATTCTGGATCTACACCATGCTGTCGCAGAGCCATGAATACACAGTAGCACTGTGCTCTCCTACTTTGCAGTCAGGAGGGTTCCATCAACCATGAGCCAGGCTGACTTGAATAATGAAATCTCACAACATATGCATAGCCTTGGCTGTTCTGCAGTCAACGAGCACCATTATTATGTTCGGATGCCTGCTTTACGGAAGGCATGTGGATGCTTCCTCATTCTTCTGCTGGCCACTGTGTGAAAGCCAACGAAAAGCCGTAAGGAGGATTTGACTCACAGTGCATCACCCTGTGAAAAGCAAAAATTTCAAAGAAAAATAAATAGTCTTGTGGGTATAGATAAATATTTATTATCAGTTGTACTTCATTTTACTAGAAGTCCTTAAACAGTTTTCCTTTTTTGCCAAAATGTTGCATCTCTGACACAGTCGCTACTGTCACAGCTTCCCTGCACCGGGAATGCACAGCTTACATGTAGATTCCAAAACAATCTATTCAAGATAAAGAACCTTCAACTTTAGTGCATACGGAGCTATTCAAAGATTGGTAAAAAGAACCCCCCTTCCCCCTCCCAAATGAAGAATTCATTACAAAGAGATTTCATTACCAAAAGTGAATATACAAATGCTAAAAAAAATGCTGGCTTGAAAAAGTGATTTCAGAATGTACTGTACACATTGTAACAATTTATTATATAAGTTGCTTCTGCATGCAAGCAGTTCTTACATTTGGTGTAAAACATTTATACACATTCTTTACAATTTGTACATATTTAAATGGCTGTATCAAACAACACTGCGCTATGGAATTTTGGAAGCAAACAACTAGAATTGGGAGGAGAAAAAGACAAGGTTTATAAAACATGAACAAAACCCATGACACTGAAAAGCATCTGGACTTAGGCTGAAGTCTCTTATGTTTTGGTTTCAGGTTATTCAGGCAGACCTAGATTTTCCTTCTAGCACACAAAAATAACACCAATGCAAAATAGAGTAAGGCAACTATTCAACCAGCAGACTGTACCCGTCTCCTAGAATGGCTTATGGGAAAATGCCTTTGCTTTAAAAGTTTGCTAAAATGTTTATATTCTAGTCATATTTTTGCAAAAAAAAAATTGCACTTTGGCTTTTTGGATTGCTTATGGCATTAAATGAATTACTGTAGTTGGGGCCCACTTACAACAGCGCTGTTATAAAAAGCCCAGGCCCCAGGTGATATTTTAGTACTAAAGAAAGGTGACTTCACTTCAGATATGATGATCAAAGTACATTTGTGTGACAACTGAGGTACCTTTGCCACCTTTCAGTTTGCATAAGAAGGTAACAGAAAGTAAACCCAAGCCAACAGCACACCATACTGCAACGTGAACACCTGAGCTCTGCCAGAACTGGAGGACTTGTATTGGTTTGTGAAGACACGAGGATCCCCTTTACTGAAAGGCTTGAAACTCTCAAAGAGGTACAGCTCTGAGGAACACCAGTGCCCTATGGCCTAACATTGTGTGGGTGTCAAAACGCTGGCATGGAAAACTGTTTTTCACACCTTCCTGAATGGCTCTTTCCTTGTTTGTACTTTGTCTTTTTACACAGTGCATAGCGAGAAAGAAAGAGCCTGACAGAAGCTCTGAGGTGTTGTGCCACAAGAGTAAGGTTTAGTTACAAAGAAAAGAAGAAAGAGTGAATTATATTTACCAAAAGTCACAGTGGGAGCAGTATGCCATGGCCACGTGTGGGAAGCAAAACTTAGAACAAGTGTTTGCTCAGCCGATTACCATAAACACATACAAGAAACAGTCACAAATACAATCCCTCCTGGCTACTGAATTGCTAGAGAACTGAGTATAATGAGTAGGAAATCATTTTCCCAAGCTCATCTGCTTCCTCACTTACAAAAATTTTAATTCTGATGCTGACAAAGAATTTTTGGAATAGCGTCTGATGCAAGTCTGCACGAGGTCCATGGCAACATACCAGTTTGATGATTTAGAACCCTACAACCAACAGCATTATCTATCTGTTTTTGCTTAAATAATGACACAAAGGGGAGAGCATTCAAGA